TGGCTGGCTCTGGGGGTGTGGCCTGCCTTATTTAAACCAGGACGCGGCCGGGGATCTCCCTCTTTGCCACCTGCCAGCTGTTCCTGCTTTTCCCACCCTCCCGCCCTATAAGGTTTTTGTTCCTTGACCTTGCTATGGACCTTGGTTGGTCACCGTTGAGGGGCCTGGTAGGAATTTTCCCACTTGGCAAATTGGCACCAGCCACTTGGTTTTTGCCTACCTCGCAGCAAATCATCACAACTTCCTTGGTATTGGTGGTTAGGCATTGGTATTGCTTTGTAGATGGAAGAGGGGAGGTAGTGCCATCACCTGCCCCGCATATTGAAGGGCAGTCCGATAAAGGATTCCGGGGGGCGTTGCCCTGTCCAAAGCCTATGGAGGTGAGAGCCTAAGGCACGCCCCCAATCGGTGACCCCGGGGAAGTTCCTAGTTGATGTGCATCAGCAGGACTCCCCCTACTGGTGGTTAACCCTTCCCGGACTTCAAGTGGATGGGCTGAAGTTGGATATAGTTGGTTAGGACCAATGCCTAAGCCAATACCGCTCATCACCTGTAACCAATAAAGTTGCGGCCTTATTTAGACCATTAACCTTAATAATTGTGTCATTATTTCCATGGGGGGGGGCGTGAACTCGCCATGCAAGTGGCTTTTCCAACGCGTGTGAGTGGCGATGTTCAGCAATCCCCCCCTAAAAAAAGCTCATCAACAACTATGGACAATCTCACCCCATTTTCTTAATTTGGTGTCCCCCAAAATAGGGGGCATGTTATACATGGAAAAATATGGTATATCATTTCCCAAAATGCTTTTACTGCCCTGCACATCCACCACATATGATAAAAGGTGCCTTCCTTCCCTTTTCATTTCCAACGTATATTTGTCGCAGTTCTATACATCTTCCACAACTTTCACCGGTGTGAATGCATATCATATGACATCCTGTGCCTACTTAAAGGTAAAGGGACCCCTGACCATTAGGTCCAGTTGTGGCCGACTCTGGGGTTGCAGCTCTCATCTCGCTTTATTGGCTGAGGGAGCCGGCGTACAGCTTCCGGGTCATGTGGCCAGCATGACTAAGCCGCTTCTGGCGAACCAGAGCAGCACATGGAAACGCCGTTTACCTTTCCACTGGAACAGTACCTATTTATCTACTTGCACTTTGACATTCTTTCGAACTGCTAGGGGGGCAGGAGCAGGGACCGAGCAACGGGAGCTCACCCCGTTGCGGGGATTCGAACCGCCGACCTTCTGATCTGCAAGTCCTAGGCTGTGTGGTTTAACTCACAGCGCCACCCGCGTCCTATGTGCCTACTTACCTGGGAGCAAGGGGGCTGGCTTTTGTGTAGACACGTACAGGAACGCACTGTTGGTGCGGTTTTCCCCCAAGTTGTTGGGATCATTTATAATTCAAAACAATTTTTGTTTCATCTGTTGCTGCATCTAGAAAACACGATACAAAAGGCCCTGTTGTTGTTTGCATTACGTATGAAATGAAATGTTATTTCAGGTGCATAACTATGTACATTACATGGATAGAAATAAAGGCCCAAATGCCAGATGCAAGTTGTTCTCGTCGTAGTTAATACATGTTGGAACCTGAGCAGGCTACCTGCATTGTATCCAGTTTCATGAGATTATATCTCATTATGCAGTTCTTTCTAGATTACTGTGTAGAGCGCACAGTTTTCTAAAGGTGACTCTTCGAGCCTTGCTGCTTTAAACACAGATTCCAGCAAAATAGGAATTTGCGGTTCCGGTTTTTCGGCCAAGTCTGTAGTTACAGCACCATTTTACACGGCCTTGTAAAGAAACTATTAGCCGACCTTGTCTGCTCACTGTTTCGTGTCAACCTTGTAAGACATTAGCATTATTCGCCACAGGTGAGCAGATGAACAGCTGCTTTTGGAAAACTGCTATAATTGGAAAGAAAAGAAAAGAAAACTACTGTAGTTTATAGTTAGTATATGCTTAGGTGATCCAGTTGAAAAGACAATGAGTATGTGAGCATGCTCAATGTTGCTTGTCGATGGAAAATATTGTAATCGCATTGGGTGTTACAAATTCCTATTCTAATACAGTGGTACCTCGGGTTACATGCGCTTCAGGTTACAGACTTCACTAACCCAGAAATATTACCTCAGGTTAAGAACTTTGCTTCAGGATGAGAACAGAAATCGTGCTCCGGCGGCGCAACGGCAGCAGGAGGCCCCATTAGCAAAAGTGGCGCTTCAGGTTAAGAACAGTTTCAGGTTAAGTACAGACCTCCAGAACGAATTAAGTACTTAACCTGAGGTACCACTGTATTGGAAAATCGAGTACAATTTTTGTGAAGATTAAATGCCAAAGATAGGCACAACCCATTTAGTGTGCACTGACAAAATGTGTCATGATTAATGGAAAACCTTCTGTGGCTGAAGCCTTGCCACTTAGCTCTGGGTTCAGCTTGGCTATATTTAATTGCCATGTGACTTCCCCAGAGGAGCGAGCACATTTTAAGGGAGGTTTACAATATTTTGCAACATAGCTGGTGTTTAGCAATAAAAAGCCTGTCTTTTGTGCCTTGTGTAAATATTAGAAAGGAAAAAGTACGCAGAGAAATTCTGGTGATGTCGTCGGGATTTTTGCTTTTTTGGAAACTTTGCGATGGAACCGAAACATGGATGTGCTTTGAGACGTTGGAGCCAAGAATTTTAAGAGAGAAAAGTTTGCACTCTTCTCTCCCCCCCCCCCCCCGATTTTTCATGAAAACTCTGGTGGACGTGGATGAAACCTTCTCAGGGACTGTGTCATGGCAGAAAACCCTTTTAAAATTGTGGAAGAGGCTCTGAGGAGTGGCTCAGAAAGAAGCTATTGTAGTAATACCTGACGGAGAGCATTTTAGTCATGCCTGCCATGCTATTTAACTACATTTGGTTTAGCATACGTTGGCATCGTTCCACAAGTAAAACTGTTTGTCGTGTTCTGGGTTATTAAAGATTGCTGCTCAGATTTGCTCCATGCCCAGTGTATATCTTCCATTCTAGTTGTCAGCAGCAGGGATTTTATAATTTTTGACGCCTGCATTGTCTTGCAGTGCATAATTTACATCTGTAAATTTTGCATGTGACTCTGCCAAAGTTTTCAGAATCTATTATTGAGTGAAGGTGGCGAGCCGATCGTAGCTGCTATCGTACAAACTTGTGTTGGAAAGACAGATTAGAAATTGGCTTGGAGGGGAGCTACATAATTGACTGGCGACAAAATTGGCCCGTGAGCATAGCTGTCAACCGTCCCTTATTTGGTGGGAAAGTCCCTTATCCCAGCGCTGTGTCCTGCTGCTGTCCCTTATTGATGATGTCCCTTAAATTTCCCGGGTTTCATAGGAAGCAGCTCCTCTCCCTCCCTCCCTGCCAGCCAGGGAGGAGGGAGGCTCCAACTGTGTTGCTTGGCTGCGTTGCTCACCCAATAAGGAGCCTGAGAACGACTGGGGGGTGGAGCTTGCATGCCTTGTGCCAATCAAATTGACCGCGTTGCCTGGGGACTCGCCTTTGCTCAGCGCTTCCCAGCGGAGAGGTGACGGTGGTTTTCCTTGCTGCATCCCCTTTGACGGGTTGCTGCGCTGTGGGAACCACTGCTTGAGGCTTCATTTGGCTGCTAGCTGGGCTTTCTGTCTTTGGCTCGGAGGGGCTCAGAAGTTGAACATACCTGTGCTCTGAAAATCCCCTATTTTGGCTGCTGATCCCTTATTTTCGAGGCTGCTGGTCCCTTATTTTCAAATCTGTAAGTTGACAGCTATGCCCGTGAGCCATTTTAAAATTCCATTGATATCTCACCTTCCTCCCTTCCATGAAACTCAATGGGCAAAGCAATGGGTCTTCTGTCCCCTGACCTGCTTAGTTTCAGCATGTTGTTGCATCGCGTGTCTTCTGGCAATGCCAAGTTAATTGGCCACTCCTTTTTGTAAAAAACATTTTATTCTCGCCTTGTTTACTTCCAAGCAATATGCGTTGACGGTGCGCATCCAGAAACGTCATTTGTTGCAGGGCAAACGATAACCAATATACTGCTATAAAAGCAGTCCTTAGTGGTACTCTTCATCCTGACATAGTTTGATAATTTTGACCCAGTGATGTCTTTATTAGCTCCCTGCCAACTCATTTCATGCGGTTTAGCAATCCACTTTGTCCAAGATATCCGCACACATACCTCTGGTTTTTGTGTGTATATATATATTTTCCTTTGTTTACGCTTTATCTAGCTTCTCAGTTCCTTGAAAACAGCTCTCTTTTCTAGGGAGTTAATGCAGTCTGCCTCCTGAACTTTGCACTGCTGCATGTTTCTCATTGTTTATTTTTGCACAGAAGGAATCTGGTTATGTCTAACGCGTGCTAGGTATTTAAACTTGCCAGGTTTTTCTCATATGCTCCAAACATGGGTGCTCCCCTCTATTGTCTGCCTTGCACGAGGACTGCAGTCCCTTCTTTGTTACAGCTCGCTCCATCATATATTAGCATATACATGAGATGGGATTTATGCAGCGTCAGCCAGTGTTCAGCAAATGCTTTAATTTACATGGCTGATAATTGCTTAAATACTTTCTTTGAAGGAGGGGGGGGGGGAAACCACCAGGTCTATTGACTCGGAATGCCCATAATTTGAAAAGTGCTTTCTACCCAATAGAAAAGAGTTTTGATGGTGATGATTTTTGCTGCAGAACTCAAATGCTTTCCCTTATGGCTCTCAGAGAGCCTGAGCATGCGCAGTGTCCGAAGACGGCTGACTGAAGAGGCACGGTTTCTTTTCTTTAGCTCCTATTGATTTGTTTCAGAGAGCTAATGCTGAATAAGAGGTTTGTCAATCTGCTCTGCACTTTGCTTAAAAAAAAAATTACAATCATCCGCACCCACGTTTTATGAATTGCTTTGAGTTTTCTTTTTTGGAGTGTGCAGACGACCCCCTTGAGAGAGGCTGCTTTCTTACCCACCAACGTTTTTGTTCTCTCTGCCTTTCTCCTGTGTAGGCTGGTCCTGGGACCATCAACATGGCTTCGGGAGTCCAGGATTACAACAGAACGGAGTCGGATAGATTAAATGAGATCAAAGGCCATCTGGAAATTGCCTTACTGGAAAAACACTTTCTACGTAAGTACAGAGGAATGTTTTTATGGCATGATAGTGGCCCATGTAGCAATGATCTGGTGCATGGCCAGGAAGGGGGGTGGGGGCGAAGGACTGTAGGAAACGTGGATTTTAAAATGTTGGCTCATCTTATGACAAGCTGTTAATGTAAAAGAACCACCTGGCGTGAATTCACTCGTTTCGATAGCTGCAAACTCTTTCAAAGTTCAGATTTATAAATGTGGAGCGACGAGGTGTTTCGGAATCGGCTAATTGTGGAGAGGGAGTGATGAAATGTCTTATCTAGGCAAAGGATGATGGCAAACACTAGCTTATTTTCAGCAAGTCAGGCGCTGTGCGGCTCGGAAGCTTCTAACTATTGATGGAGAGATGGAGGTGCGCTTTGCAGGGAGGGAAAAGAACAATTTCCTTTTCAGATGGAATCCTCAGTGTGGTTCTTTTCGGGATAGCAAGGTTTTTCTATCAAGTCCTATAAACACAGCGGCTGCCTGCTTTCAAATTCTATTGTGTGTGCATGTGCACATACTGAATTCCTACTCTATCCCCTTTCCTTTCCTACGACCCGCATCCACTCCAAAGAGTCAGGGGCCCTTCCCAGTGCAGATTTTGGTGACATGGGATCTTGCAGGAGGGGCGGGGAAGAATAGAAACTCCTTTGTGTGAATGGAAGATGGCAGTGTTAGGACACAGCCCTCTGCTTGAAGGATGTAAGCTGGATAACTGTAATGCAAAACTGTTTATAAAGTGGTCAAACTGCTTCAGTTATATTACGATAACTAAAACCAAAGTATTTTGGTTTCAATCAGAGGTCACATTTGTATATGCGTTCAGAATAAGCAGGCTGTAGAACTGTGACAGATGTGAACAGATGTTTCTGTTGTTGTTGTTGTTCTGCTGGGAGCAGCCTAGAGTGGCTGGGGAAACCCAGCCAGATGGGCAGGCTGTTTAATAATAATAATAATAATAATAATAATAATAATAATAATAATCTGTTCTCCCCAGTGTTAAAGACAGATGGGTATTGTGGGTGCTACTGTAAGTTTGAATTAATCAAGTAACATCTAAAAAATAGTTGCTCACCGTCAGTTGTCTGATTGTGGAAACTGAAAACGGATACAGCTTTACACGCGTGAGCAGACAGGAGCTGCTATGACCCAGAATTTAGTTTGACTTTCCTAAAATGTTAGCTTGATGTCATTGGATCATAGTTTAAAAACAAACTGGCCATTTTCAAAAGAAGGAAACGTCAACCACGGTTTCTGAAGGTTGATTTTTTTTTAACCAACCAGAGTTCATTTTCAAACACGATCCCTGGCCCAGGTAGAAGGTAAAACTAAACTCCGGCAGAGTCCTCCTCCTTGCCAAAGGGTGCGGGGGAGAGGGGAAAATGCATGAGCCGTAAGACTACTTCCTGATGGTGCATGTAACACTAAACCATGGTTTGGCTTTACGCGTCTACGTAGCCATTGTTCAGCTCATTCTGAGCAAGACACAATGAAGGTGAAAAGCAGCGACTGTACATAAAAATAGATCCTCTGAGGGCTTGTTTACATGGGTAGGAGTACTAGGCAAGTTTTCTTTTTTTAACTGCCTCGCTGCAAGCCAGAGAAACAACCCACGGGCTCAGCATATCAAGGCAAATGTGAGGAAGCATCTCCAATTTCTGGCGGCAGAAAGCTAGCGCCTTCTTACATCAGCCAGTTCTGAACAGGGGAGACAAATTTCGACACGATTAGAAAGAGAGCTTCCTTTCTGCTTGCCAGTCAATCAGGAAATATTGGTTGGGGTGGGGCCCCTTTCCTGGAAGCGTGGAGTGCTGTTTGTTGCAAGGCAAGATGATGATGATGATGATTCTGTTGACCCCGAGGCTTGTGGCACTCTCTTCTCTGCTTAATAAACACAATCCTGGCACATGGCTAGGGTGGCGAGAGTCACCTGTCAGGTGTGGGAACATGCCGGGGGGTGTGTGAAAAGGTGCTTCCCCCGCCCTCTTGTGCACACATTGGGTGGCAACAGTTTGCACAGTGACTAAGCACGAGGCGAGGAGCAATTTGAAGAGGGTGTTTCTGATTTAACCCTGCTCGCTTTTGCTCCATGGTGCAGGATGAGCTTTTATGTGTGTGTGAATAATGCTGCTTTGTTTCCTTTGGTTTCTGGTGTGTGTGTGTGTGTGTGTGTGTGTGTGTTTTACAATTGCAGGCCGCTTGGAGGCATGCTACGCAGCAAGCAACGAACAAAACTACAGCAGCAACAACAATAATAATAAAAACCCTCTGGCTTGTCCCTTCTGGTCCTGAAACCTAAGGCAGTTATGATCTGGCTCCAATCCAGCAGACGGCATGGTGTTTAGCAGGAGTGGCACACATATGGCTTTTCATAGAATGACAAAATCCCACCGATTGCTGACTTGGCAAGGGGAGAGGAGCAGGGAAAGTGAATCTGACCCCCGCAGCCCAGCTCCGTTTTAGGATTCATAACATTCCAGCTCTTTAATGAAGTGCTAGAGGACCACAGAAAGCTTCCTTATACTGAGCCAAACCATTGTTCCACCTAGTTTAGGATTGAGTTTCCCAAACTTGGGTCTCCAGCTGTTTTTTGGACTACAACACCCATCATCCCTTGCTAGCAGGACCAGTAGTCAGGGATGATGGGAACTGTAGTCCAAAACCAACTGGAGACCCAAGTTTGGGAAACTCTACACTGGTTGGCAGCGGCCCCTCTGCACTTTGAGACAGGGGTCGCTGCCAGGAGATGTCGGGGTTTGGACATGCAGCCATCTGCATGTGTATGAGATGCTCTCCCACTGAGTTTCAGCCCTTTACGGACCTAGGGATTTGCATGTTCCAGTCTGCCAGCCGAACCATGCAAATTTTGCACACATGCTTCCTAATCCAACTGAGGATTTTGCATGCTGCCTCTAGCCGGGCTGGAAAGTTTCTACCTGTATCACATGGGCTTAGTTCAAACAAGTCTTTGTATTGTGCCTTCTGTCTGCTGCTGCCCTAGTGGCCTTAAGCTGAAGGCCTGCTTTTTCTTCCTTTTCAGCGGATAAACAAGCCCAAAGCGTAGCTTGACAGTGTTGGTTTAGACTTGTGTGTGCTTTGAATTTTGTCACCTCGCTCGAAGTGATTCGCTTGGCCTTGAATTAGAGCTCTTGTAATTGTAATACAGTGGTAGCTCGGGTTACAGACGCTTCAGGTTACAGACGCTTCAGGTTACAGACTCCACTAACCCAGAAATAGTACCTCGGGTTAAGAACTTTGCTTCAGGATGAGAACAGAAATGGCCCGGTGGCGGTGTGGCAGCAGCGGGAGGCTCCATTAGCTAAAGTGGTACCTCAGGTTAAGAACAGTTTCAGGTTAAGAACGGACCTCCAGAACGAATTATGTTCTTAACATGAGGTACCACTGTACTTTGCAAGGAGGAGAGTTTCTCACGCCTGGTAAGCACAGGCGTTTCTCGACAGCTGCTGGCCTGTGGATTTGTAGAGGCCTTTTGTGTACACCAAAGACCTCCCCCGTGGTGCCGAAGGAAAAATCTAACCTCTGTGTTTCCTCAACCAGTGTTTGAAATTAGCCAAGCGCCAGGTGCGTTTCCCACCAAGTAAAGATGTCTGGGTGCCAAGCTGGCACCTGTCATCACCATCTGGAGGTACATGCCTGGGGCTCATTGGATCGGGACTGTTTTCACACACTGTAGAATTCCATCAGTAGTATTTTATCTGCACAATTGGATTGAATTTATGGAACCAAATTGCCTTTTCTGTGCAGCCTGAGCAGACAACCTACAGAAAAAGAGGTCGGAATAGGCCAATATAGTATGTGATCAAAGTCATCTTTCTTCTTTAAGTTTTTGATGTTCTTCGCCTGAGGCGCAGGTCACCTCTGTGTCCAGGGCAGCTGTCTACCCGCTCCACCTGGTACGCAGGCTAATACACTTACCTGCCCGCAGACTGTCTTGCCAGAGTGGTGCATCCTCTGGTTATCTCCCGCTTGGACTACTGCAATGTACTCTAAGTGGGGCTACCTTTGAAGGTACAACTAATCCAGAATGCGGCAGCTAGACTGATGACTGGGAGCGGCCGCCGAGACCACATAACACCAGTCTTGAAAGACCCACATTGGCTCCCAGTACGTTTCCAAGCACAATTCAAAGTGTTGGTGCTGACCTTCAAAGCCCTAAACAGCCTCGGCCCAATATACCTGAAGGAGCATCTCCACCCTCATCGTTCAGCCCAGACACTGAGGTCCATCTCCCAGGGCCTTCTCCTGGTTCCTTTACTGCGAGATGTGAGGTTACAGGGGACCAGGCAGAGGGCCTTCTTGGTGGTGGTGCCCGCCCTGTGGAACACCCTCCCACCAGATGTCAAGGAAATAAACAACTACCAGACATTTAGAAGACATCTGAAGGCAGCCCTGTTTAGGGAAGTTTTTAAGGTTTGAAGTTTTATTCTGTTTTTAGTGTTCCGTTGGGAGCCGCCCAGAGTGGCTGGGAAAACCCAACCAGATGGGCGTTGTATAAATAACAAAATTCTTACTAATATTATTAACTGAGAATCAAATCACAATCATTCCATCGTTTGAAAAATAAGACTTTAGAGCCCCCCAAATAGCAACTGGACGTTTCGTTTCGGTGACTATAACTTTGGTTTAAGGAACCATTTGGCACCTAGCTTATATTTCTGAGTTTCTAGCCCTGCTCAAGGCTACGACGTGATTCAGAAGCCTATAACTGATGTGCTTTGGGTCTGCCCCATTCCTTTCTGAGCCAGTAAATAGTCTGTATCTGCAGTTGTCTGCCTCTTGCTCTTCCCTGGACCTTTGGTGCTAGGCTAATGCTGTAACAAATGCCTGACAGATACCATCAGAGCACCTACGGGTCTAGATACCTGATCCATGCATGACCTAGTAATATATACAGTTGTTGAAGACAGCTTGACACAGCACTTTATCCGCCGCCTCCGTGTTAAAATAGCATTCTCGAAAAATCGTAGGCACTCTGCC